TAGGTCCTGTTTCTGCTGGATGGTAGCACTGTGTTTTCAATTTTTTTCATTATCCCGGTTTGTATTTTTCAAACTTTCTACAATAAACATATAAACTGATTTAAGAAAATTCATACATTTAAGAAAATTTCAGTTCCATGGTGGTCGATGCATTGCTTTGAAATGTCTCTGGATTCCCAAAGTGGTCAGTTTTTCTGTCCCCAGTGAGGGCAAAGGGCAGTCCTCAGTCCACAGACTGAGGACAAGTGACTCTCTGCTGGGATGCCGGCCCCCAACTCGGTCACTCATTCACTCATTCTCAGAACAAGTGCTACCTGTCTGGTCTCTGGCACTGTTCTCGATTCTAGGATTTTGACTTCTGTCAAGGCCTTGTGGCACGCCACACCCCGTCCCTCCCCCAAACTCCCATCACCCTGAAACCCTCCCCACTGCAAAGCCAACGCACAGCCACATCCATGCTGTTTATAAAACGAATTGGGGACTTCCCTGGTGGTCCAGTGGCTAAGAATCCGTGCTCCCAATGCAGGGGGCCCGGGTTCAATCCCTAGTCAGGAAACTAGACCCCACATGCCACAACTAAGAGTTTGCTTGCCACAACTAAGAACTGGCACGGCAAAATAAAAATGAATATTAAAAAAAAAAAACGAATTGGTGGATTTTCATCACTAGGTATTCAACAAGGGCCTCCAGAACACTGTTGAATGGTTCCAACTCCCAACTAATTATAAAGTGTTTACTTTTTGGCTTTTGTAACCATATATAAATAAACATGTTTACAAAGTAAAAAAATAGATTGGTGGAAGCACTGGTCCCACTAAGCTTTCTTTCTGTGTGTCCCCGCCCTTGGAGCATTGGAAGAGGACGCATGCCCCATGTTTGGGGAGGCCCCTCAGGCAGGAACTCTGGCCCCGCTGAAGTCTCGCCCCTCAAGGAGGCTGGCCTTAGTCCCTGACTTTACTTTTCATCCGCCAGGGAACACTTCCAGCTACTCCTAGCTACAGCCCAGGGCAAAACTCCCCCGGACGACCCTCCCCTGGAAGCTTTCAGAGTGGTGGAATCAGACCGCATGGGTGCGAAGGTCTCTGCATTGCAGGCTGGCCAGATCTGAGCATCCAGGAACCTAACCCCATATTGTGTGCTCTGTGGTGACCCCTGGGCAGAGGGTGGAGGCCGTGAAGGCCTGGGCCACAGCGACCTGACCACGGCAGACACAGCCAGTCTTCAGGGGGAGCCTCAGGCAGCGGGCATGGTCCCTGCCTGGACAGCCACTCAGGACCCAGGTTCCAGAGGACCAGGGCTGGGTGATGCCCACAGCAGCCTCCCTGCGGGCCTGGCTGCTACTGACACCCACAGCCTTGATTCACTAGCAGCTCCCTGGTGTGGGGAGGCTAGACCTGCTCCCCATTCCCAGAGGTGGGGGAACCAGACCTTTTCCCATTCCCAGGAGTGGGGGACCAGACCTGCTCCCATTCCTAGGGGTGGGGGGCCAGACCTGCTCCAATTCTCCCAGGGGTGGGGACGGTGGCTCTGAGGGTCCCTAAGCCCCACAGCCAGGACAGATGCCAGGCCTGGGGCCCCCATCAGCCTGACCCCAGGGTTGACATGCCCGTCTATGCCCAGTGCCAAGTGACTGAGGACAGGTCACAGTGACTTCCCCTTCTGGACCTCAGTTTCCTCCCAGTCACAGAGAGCCAGGGGTGCTGTAAGCGTGAGTCTCACGTGCCAAGTCCATGGGCCCAAGGACCCAGATGTTTGCTCAAACTCTGCTCTGAATGTGGCTGCAAAGATGTCTCTTAGATGGAGTCAACATTGAATCAGTGGACTCTGGGTAAAGCAGATTGCCCTCAATGCTGTGGTTGGGCCTCATCCAACCAGTTGAAGGCCTTAAAGGAAAGACGGTGTCCCCCAGGAGGAGAGACCTCTGCCTCTGGACGGCCTGGAACTCCAGCTGTAGCATCAGGTCTCTGCGGGTTCTCCAGCCTGTCCTGCAGACGTGTGGTCTGCCAGCCTCCATAGTTTCACAGGTCAGCTCCACCAAATCAACCTGTCTGTACATATATACGCAAACACGAGCACATGTCCCATTGGCTCTGTCTTTCTGGGGAGCCCACACTTCATAGCTCCCAGGAGAAGCACCCCAGTTTCAGGGAAGCTGCTGGAGGCAATTTTTGACACCACTTCCAGGTAGGTGGGCACAGCTGTGCCTTCCTGCTCTGTGTGTTTCAGAAGCAGCAAGGGCGCCTGGCTCCCACATCTCTCTGCCCCCAGCAGAGCCCTGCAGTGGTGGCACTCCAGCCCCGAGTCCATGTGCATGGTTGCAGACCTGGCCTCATGGGGTGCCATGCTGAACAGGGATCGTGCCAGGGCTCATGTGGAAGCTTGGGTCTGCTGGTTTCCTGGCATCCTCAGCCATGCTGCTCGACTGCTGGGATGGTGAGCAGCCTGGACAGACCTGGCTATTGGCGGGGGGGGGGGGGGTCCCTGGAACAAGCAGGAAGGCCTGCCTGGGTCACAGACTGGCAGCTTGGGGACTTGATTGCACCTGCTGCGTCAGCAAGATTCCCACTCACCAGTCGTGGGAGCGATTGGAAACCCCAGGCCCGCCCCAGGGCTGCCCTCTGCACAGCCTGCCCTGCCCAGGGTCGGGGGGTGAGTGGGGGAAAGTGGGGGAGGGGAAGGCGGGGGACATGGCTCTTTCTGAACAGCCCAGGTTCCCTGCCCACTGCGGTAGCTGGACATGGACTCCATCAGCCTAACCATGACCCCATGTCCAGGGACAGGCCCCCAGAGGCCAGGCAGGTGACAGGTGGCAGCACAGCTGGAACAGGTGGGGTCTTGGCCTCCCAGGGCCCCTGGGGCTTGGCCCCCACCCCGCTGGCCACTTGCTCAGTAGGGGCGGGGGTTTTGGGTGGCGCCTCCTTCAGACCTCAGCTCCTGGCTCATGTGGGATTGGGTGAGATGACGACAGAACCCACAGCCCATTTTAGGTCCTGTTTGGGGAAAAGGGAAATGGACAAGGACCACATTAGCATTGCAGCCCCGCCCACCTGTGGTGTCACTGGGACTTCACTGTTCCCAGAACTGGTGTTCTCAGCTGGCCCCGCCGCCCACGGGGGCACAGTCACTAGCTCCTGGTAGCTGCCCCTGTGACATCGGCTCCAGAGGGACTGAGGGACAGGCGCAGTGACAGGAGTGCAGGCTACCGGGCCCCGCCCCACACGCCTTCCAGAACAGCGGGGCCAGAGCCACGCGGGGCCGCCTCGGGCTCCACGCTGCCCCACCCACGGGCTGAAGACCTCTCCATAGTCCAGTAGCCAGCCAGGCGTGGCTCTGAGCTGAACCTGCGGGGCCCTAGGGACACAGGCCAGTCTTGCCCACAGGCCCACATCGCCACCTCCCAGGGAAGTGATTTTTGAATCACAATTCGATGAGAAAGTCAGCTGGAGTGTAAACTACTGGCCCATTTCACAGATGGGAGGCCAAGCAGCCAGCCTGTCCCCCACCCATCCAGCCAGTGTGTGGGGGGGCCTCTCCCATCCCCTGGACAGCGGTGCCCCCTCTGCTGAACTTCTGAGAGGCCCTTGACTGCCTGGGGTATCTCCCCTCAGAAACCTCCAGGAGCTGACCGTGACCTGCCCCGGGGCTGCACTGGCTCGGCCCAAGCTGACAGCTGTGGGCAGGCAAGTCCACGCGGATTTCAGCTGAGAAACCTGAGGCTGGCCGAGCCCCCAGGAAATAGCTTGATTCACCCCCGTCGGGACAAATCCCAGGGCAGTCAAGAGTCCCCTCTCCCAGGGGGACAGGCCTCCAAGGGCCTGGTTGTGGGAGATTTAGGTCACACACCTAATGACTCCCTAAAACGTAACTGTCTCCCCACATTTTCACATCGTCAGGCCAGAACTCATGAGCCTTCTGGACCCTGGGAGAAAACGCAGACCTGCCTTCAACACGATGTACCATGAACACACACAGACACACACACACACAATGTAGCATGGACACCCAGACACCCAGTCACACAAAGACACAGACACACAAAGACACACAGATACACAGACACACACACAGACACACAGATACACAGACACACACACAGACACAAACTCACACAAACATACACACACACAGAGACACACACACACGCAATGTAGCATGGACACCCAGACACACAGTCACACAAAGACACAGACACAAACACACACACAGACACACAGACACATACACAGACACACACACAGACACACAGACACAGATACAAACACACAATGCATGGTGGACATACACACCTACACACAGACACACAGAATGCACATGGACACACACACAGACATAGACACACAGACACACACACAGACACACACACAATGTACCATGGACACTCAGACACACAGTCACACAGAGACACACACACAGACACGCAGACACATACACAGACACACACATGGACACGAACACACACAGATACAAACATACACAGACACACACAATGCACCGTGGACACACACAGAGACACAAACACACACAGACACACACACAATGCACCTGGATACACACAGAGACACACACACTCAGAGGTACCACACACACGCATACACACACAAAGTACTGTGGACACACATATACACACAGACACACACACAAAATGCACCGTGGACACACAGACACATACCTACTCAGAGGTAGCCCGCCACACACACACAGAGGGGCTCTGCTGGAGGACAGAGCTGCCCAGCCAACCATGGAAGCATGAACAGGATGGGGACAGGCCAGGGCGGTAAGAGGAAGGCACGGGGCAGGGTGAGGAGGAGGAGGCCCAGGAGCCTCCTGCAGAGCCTGGCCGCACCGACCCCGTACCCTCCAGAGGGGCCTGGTCTGCCTCCAGCCTCCTCTGGCTCCGTGGGGCCTCACGGCCCCCACATGGGGGGCTCAGCAAGTGCCTGGGCCTTGCTGAGAGACTCCCACGGCGGGCCGAGGCTGAGGTCTGAGTGCATCCTTCCGCCATGCTGGTCCCATCCCCCTGGTTACATGCCTCCCAGCAGCCAGTAGCTCTGCAGCAGTGGGCTCAGCACTTCTTGTGGGGTCTCAGCTCAAGGGGCCTGGAGCAGACGACCGGGGCCACCAGGGCCCCCGCAGCTGGGCTCCTCGGAGCTGCTTCCCTCGGGAAAGACAGCAGCCAGGGCCTCAAGGCTGAGCAGTTCCCCTTCAGAGAAGCTAGCCCGGACACAGAGGAGCCTCTGTCCACTCACCCACTGGATGCCCTGGGGACCTTGGCAGGGATGTCCCGGCTGGACTGGCAGGGGCTTCGGCTCTGCTCTTCACCAGGCTGGTGCTTCACGGGTCTCGGAAGACACTGCCCACTGGAGACCCCACTGGTGAAGGCGCGATGCTTCCTGTTCTAAGTCAGCAACTTGGAGGAAGTAGTTACATGTGGTTGATTACACCACATGGGGCCCATCATCCAGCCCCAGCCCCTTTGCCTACACAGCTCCAGCCCGAGGGCTGTCAGAGGACCAGCCTCAGGAGACATCCATTATACTTGCTCAGGGCGGGAAGTGGAACAGGGTGGGGTCGGATGGAGTGGGAGCAGGGCCCCTGGCAGCACCGCCTGCGCCCTCAGGGCATGGGGAACCCTGGAGGGCAGGGCTCAGGAATTTGCACCCCTGGAAGGGAGAGCCTGAAGACTGAGCACACCTACCGAAGAAGAAGCAGACAGGCACAGAGGATCCTAACTTGTATCACAGAAATGGAAAAGCATCACAGGGCCCGAAGGGCAGAACTGAGAAGGTGGGGAGCAAATCAGTGGGCAGGCTGTGGGATCAGCTGGCGGGGGGGGACAAAGGAACAGGGCAGAGGGCAGAGGAGCTCCAGGAGGGAACAAGAGGGGGGAGACTCGATCAACAGGGGAAAAGCTCCAGACCCAAGAGAGAGAGAGAATCCAGACGAAGGGACTGCTGCTTGGCTTGAGAGGAAGGAAAAAGGTCCCCAAACTGGGTAACATATGATGTCATCACAGAATGTTAATGATAGAAAACAGTACAGATTCAGAGAGTCAGAGCACACAGGGTGAAGGGAGGATTAGGATGAGGAGGAAGAGAGCAGGAGAGGAGACACGGACTGATTACATCCATAAAGAAGCAGAGAGCAGAGTCTTCAGATGAACCAAGTCTCACATACATAAACTACCCTTAACTGTTTGGAAGATGCAATCTCAAAGACAGACAGATGAAGAAATCCAAGAGGAATACAAGGGTCGGCGTAGGGGCAACAGTAACCAAAGAAATAAGTAAAAACTGTTAAGCCTAAGTAACTGTTGATTTTAAACTAATGATAGGAAACACTTAACTTTAATATTTTAATGTAATATTTAATTTTAATCATACATTGTGATTTGTTGTTTAGTTGCTAAATCATATCTGACTCTTTGTGAACCCACGGACTGAAGCACAACAGGCTTCCCTGTCCTTCACCATCTCCCGGAGCTTGCTCAAACTCACATCCATTGAGTCACTGATGCCATCCAACCATCTCATCCTCTGTTACCCACTTCTCCTGCCCTCAGTCTTTCCCAGCATCAGGGTCTTTTCCAGTGCATCGGCTCTTCACATCAGGTGGCCAAAGTACTGGAGCTTCAGCTTCAACATCAGTCCTTCCAGTGAATATCCAGAGTTGATTTCCTTTAGGATTGACTGGTTTGATCTTCTTGCTGTCCAAGGGACTTTCAAGACTCTTCTCCAGCATCACAGTTCGAAAGCATCGATTTTTTGGTGCTCAGATAGGAAACATTTAATTTTACATGTGGTAACTATTAAAACTCTTCTAAAGAAGAGAAATAGGGAGGTCTTCCCTGGTGGTCCAGTCCAATGCTTAATAACCTGCCTGCCAATGCAGGGGACATGGGTTCGATTCCTGCTTGGGGAACTAAAATCCCATATGCTGTGGAGCAATTAAGCCTGAGTGTCGCAACTACTGGGCCTCTGCACCCTGGAGCCTGTGCTCCACAACAAGAGAAGCCACTGCAGTGAGAAGCCTGCACGTTGCAACTAGAGAAAGCCCATGTGCAGCAACAAAGACCCAGTGAGGCCAAAAGTCAATAAAATAAGTAAGTAAATATTTTTTAAAAAGAATAGAAATAGGAAGTACCCAGCTGAAGAAGGAAATATGAAAAAAAAATTTTTTTAAAGGCAGGAGCAATAGAACAACAAGAAAGGATTGTGAACTAACAGCACACAGTAAGACTTCAGGAATGGTTTCAAAAATTCCAGAGAACCCAGAGTTCCAGGGTTGCAGCATCTGTGAACAGGCCACTCTCCCTCTTCAAATAAAGTCTTGGTGACTTTTAAAAAAAAAAAAAACAAACAAGCTCCAATTAGATGTCTTCTATAAATGGAACTTCCTCGTTATGGAACTATTCCAGAAAATACAACAAAAAAGGAAGGAGAGATTGAGAATGTCCCTGTGTCATGCCTACTGGTTTCTCACCAAATGCAGCAGTGACTGTCCCTGGCGGTGATCCCACAGAGACACGCCAGTCACAGAGACACCCCTGCCACTCACAGACGTGTCACCTGCTGCCCTAGGCCTTGGAAAATGTAGCAATACACATTAAGATAATCATAAAGTAAATAAAATAATTGATGTTGAAGCTGAAATGCCAATACTTTGGCCACCTGATGCGAAGAACTGACTCACTGGAAAAGACCCTGATGCTGGGAAAGACTGAGGGCAGGAGGAGAAGGGGACAACAGGATGAAATGGTTGGATGGCATGACCAACTCAACGGACATGAGTTTGGGTAAACTCTGGGAGTTGGTGATGGACAAGGAGGCCTGGCATGCTGCAGTCCATGAGGTCACAAAGAGTCAGACAGGACTGAGCGATAGAACTGAACTCAACTGAAATAAAATAAAAATAACAATGTTTACTCTTGAACCCAAGTCACATCAACACTTTATCTCTTTGAGTGGGAACAAGGAGGAGAGAGGGTTGGGCTAGTGGGCGTGGCAGGGATGAGTGAGCACCTCCGAGGCAGACAAGATTAGCCGAGAATTGATCATTGTTGAAGCAGATGCTGAGGACACATGGGTTCATTAAACTGTCTGGTCTATTTTTATATGTGTGAAATTTTCTGTAGTAAAATTTTTTAATTCTAAAAAGAAGCATAAAGTTGCCTAATGCGGGTAGAGGTTCAGTTTTGCAAAATGAAAAAATTTCAGAGTTTAGTTGCATGATGATGTGGATATACTTAATAATACTGAACTTTACACTTAAAAATGGTAAAGATGGCTAAATTGATGTTATGTATTTTACCATAATTAGAAAGAAAAAATGTTACCTATTAGCTAAATTGTTAAAAGTGACATTGAAGGCTGAAAATAAAGGATTGGAAAATACACACATCATAAAAAAATACTAAAGATACAATATAGAGATAACATTAAAAGATAGAATTAAATGAAAAAAACCACATTAAATGAATAAATAAAGTTGTACACAATGAAAGTTCCAATCCACAAAGTTCAGCCATCCTAAATCTTTATATACTAAACAAAATCACAATACATAAAAAACAAAAACTGACAAATACACAAGTAATCAGATACAACCAGAAACAAAGCAAACATCTTAATATGCCTCTCTCAGAAATGAACACATCCCACAGAAAATTAGGTCTACGGAGAATTTGAGGAATATAATCCTCGGAGGCAGGCATGGCAACTCACTCCAGTATTCCTGCCTGGAGAATCCCATGGACAGAGGAGCCTGGCGGGCTACTGTTGCAGGGTTGGACATGACGGAAGCAACTTAGCACACGCGCACAACCCTTTCTCTCTAACTTGTATGCGGTAAAGTTAAAAAGGGAGGGAAGTAACAAGCAGATCATTTATTAAGCCACAAAGGAAATTTCAATTTGTTCGAAAGCGCAGAGATCATAAGGAGGCCAAATTCAGTGTAATAAAAGTAGATGATAAGCAAAGAAGGATGTGTGTATATTAGTCACTCAGTTGTGTCTGACACTTTGTGACCCTAGGCTACTCCGTCCATGGGATTCTCTAGGCAAGAATACTGGAGTGGGTAGCCGTTCCCTTCTCCAGGGGATCTTCCTGACCCAGGGATGGAGACCTGGTCTCTTGCACTGCAGGCAGATTCTCTGCTGTCTCAGCCACTAGGGAAGCCCGAAGCAAAGAACAGTAGTAAAGAAAAATCCGGCACTCCCAGACTGGAGCCAAACCCAACATGGAATAAAAAGATATCTTGAGGCCTTTCATGCCCAAGAGGAAGCAATAAAGTATGCATCTGGAGCGTCTGTATTCACATGAGATGCCCAAAACCGTAACACTGAGGTTATATTTAAAAACAGACTGCAGAAGAAGGCTTCCTACTACACCATGCACATTTGATACGATCCCAGGAAAAATACCCACACACTCAGGAACCCACATCCAGGGCAGTGGCTGCTTCTGCAGGTGAGAAGGCAGTGGTCCTGCGAGATGGATGCAGAGGCCTTCAGTTTTGTGTTTTAAAGTTTTATGAAGAAGAAAGAAGAAAACTTCTGGGCACAGTAAAGCAAAATATTAAGATCTGATTAAGTTGGATGGTGGGTATATGGGTGTTGATTATGCTGATCTCCACACTTGTCTATAGTCTCGAAATAATTTATTTTCTTTTTTAATGAGCATTTTTAAAATACAAATTTTATTTATTTATTATTTTTACAGTTTTGGCCATACTGGGACTGTTGTTCTCCAACCAGGATTGAATCCTCTCCCCTCTGCATTGAAAGGTGGAATCTTAACCACTGGACCACCAGGAAAGTCTCCAAATAATTTTTTTTTTCTTTTTAAAGAAACTAACAGGGAATGACTGTAAATGAGCATGGAGATCTTTGGGGGGTAAGGGAAATACTTTAAAAATGGGCTGTGGTGGTGAGTGAATAAATTTGCAAATCCAGCTAAAATTCATCATCATTAAATCATACACTTAATATGAGTGGTATTGGCTTGCAAACTCTGTCTTAATGCAGCTGTAAAAAATGAATTTAGATTAAGAATAAGATAAAAAGGGCCAGTAGCTTCCAGTCCCAGCTGAAACAGAGTATGCCCACCCCACTCCATCTCTACAGGGACCACAGCTGAAAATATCACATGGGATAAGATGGAGCAACTTTCCAGACAGACTGGGGGGAGAAATCAAAACCTGGTAAAAGGCTGATTTCCTTGCAGATGTCTCCCGCAACCATGGGTTAGATTCAGGGTAGCTTGATCCCCAGAAGAGACAGGAGGCACGGCCAAGAGAACCCTTCCTTTGGTCAGCGGGCTGGGAGGAGCAATGCCCTGAAAGACACACAGAGTGAAAGAGATGCCCTACTTCTTTTTCCTAGTCTTGCCCTAGAGGCAAATTCCTGTCCCAACGCTGCACACCCAGGATGGTGGTAGTGGTAGCAGCAGCTACAGCAGCAGAAGCTCTGGTCACTTGGACCCAAAGGTGACCCAGTCACAGAAAGCAGGAGGCACACCAGTGCAGGAGGCTGAAGCTCCTGCCTTATAGCCAGAGGCCAGGAATGGAAGCCTCAGGAAGCCGGAGAGCTTGGGAGAAATTAATATGAAGATCGAGAAGAACACATAAAGCTTCACATGAAGTTCCAGACTCAACTCTGGGCTGGAAATGTATGGAAATGACCCAAAAGGGCAAGTCAAAGCCTTTGAGAGTTGAATCATGGTGTAGATAGACCACTGTCAAGGTTGAAAACTGGACCAGGGGGTGCAGATGTGAAGTGGATTCAAATAGCACTGCAGAGACTCTGAAAAGTAAACTCACATTGGAACCACATCCCACAGGAGGCAGATCTGAACTTGTGGTCTAACCCAACCAGGCTGATGGGTGGGGTGGGGGCAAGGTTGGGGAAGAGCAATATTGGAGAACACTGGAGAAGATTTTGAGAGGATCGTTAAACAATGTCCAAAATGTTTAAAACACAATTCAAAAGTTCCCAAACAACAGTAATAACAAAGAAAATCTGACCAAATTGTAAGAGAAAAAAAAAATTCTAGGGGCCAACTCTGAGATGATTCAAATGTTGAAATTATCATGTAAAGCATTTAAATAAATTACTTAAAATATGCTCTATTATGTAAAAAACACATCTTGAAACAAATGCAGCAATATGAAAATTTCAGCAGCAATATAAAAGCTATAAAAAGAAACAAATAGTCTTAAAAATTAAAAATATTACAGCAATTACAAAATTCAATGAGTGGGTTTACTAGGAGGGTAGTGAAGACACCAGAGTGAGTGAACTTGGGGACCAGTAGAAATTATCCAATATTAATGACACTGAGAAGAAAAGATTGACAACAAATGAACAGAGCCTGGGGACCTGTGGAATAATATCAAGAGACCTAACACTTGTGTCACTGGAGCACCAGGGTGAGAGGAGTAAAGGGCTGGCCCAGAAAAAGTATTTGAAAAAATAATGGCTGAAAAATGCCCCAAATTTGATGAAAAAATATACATTTACGGATTAAAGAAACTTAACGAACCCCTAACAGGATAAAGCTGAAGAAAATCAAGCCTATACACACCCTACTCAGACTGCTGAAAACCAAAGACAAAGAAAAACATCCTGAAAGCATCCAGAGTAAGATGATGCATCACATGTGGAGAAGCAACCGCTGGAATAACAGCAGATTTTCCGCCAGAGTCCACGGATGCCGGAAGACAATGGAACAACCTGTACAAAAACTCTGAAAGGGAAGAATTCTTTTCCCTCAGCTGTGAATTCTATTCCCACCAGTGAAAGGGAAACAAACACATTCTCTGCTAAAAGCAGGAAAACTACTGCTCAGCAGATAAGCTCTAAGAGAAACCTTAAGATTTCAGGAGGAAATTATATCAGAGGAAAACTGGGAAACCTAGAAATGAAGAAAAAACAACAGACACAGTAAATAGTTGGTAAACATGTACGGTATTTCCCCTCTTCAGTTCAGTTCAGTCACTCAGTCATGTCTGATTCTGTGACCCCATGGAAAGCAGCACTCCAGGCTTCCCTGTCCATCACCAACTCCGGGAGCTTGCTCAAACTCATGTCCATTGAGTCGGTGACGCCATTCAACCATCTCATCCTCTGTTGTCCCCTTCCCTCCTGCCCTCAATCATTTCCAGCATCAGGGTCTTTTCCAGTGAGTCAGTTCTTCACATCAAATGGCCAAAGTATCGGAACTTCAGCTTCAGCATCAATCCTTCCAAAGAATATTCAGGATTGATTTCCTTTAGGATTGACTGGTTTGATTTCCTTGCTGTCCAAGGGACTCTCAAGAGTCTTCTCCAACTACACGGTTCAAAAGCATCAATTCTTCAGTGCTCAGCTTTCTTTACGGTCCAACTCTCACATCCATACAGAACTACTGGGAAAACCATAACTTTGACTAGACAGACCTTTGTCAGTAACATAATGTCTCTGCTTTTTAATATGCTGTCTAGGTTTGTCATAGCTTTTCTTCCAAGGAGCAAGTGTCTTTTAATTTCATGACTGCAGTCGCCATCCACAGTGATTTAGAGCCCAAGAAAATAAAGTCTGTCACTGTTTCCACTGTTTCTCCATCTATTTGCCATGAAGTGATGGGACCAGATGCCATGATCTTAGTTTTTTGAATGTTGAGTTTTAAGCCAACTTCTTCATTCTCCTCTTTCACTTTCATCAAGAGGCTCTTTAGTTCTTCACTTTCCGCCATAAGGGTGGTTTCATCTGTATATCCAAGGTTATTGATATTTCTCCCTAGAAGATTCCAGCTTGTGCTTCATCCAGTCCAGCATTTCACATGATTTACTCTGCATATAAGTTAAATAAGTAGGGTGACAATAAAGGAGCCTTGACGTACCCCTTTCCCAATTTGGAACCAGTCCAGTTTTCCATGTCCACTTTTAACTGTTGCTTCCTGACCTGCATACAGGAGGCAGGCAAGGTGGTCTGGTATTCCCATCTCTTTAAGAATTTTCCAGTTTGTTGTGATCCACACAGTCAAAAGCTTTAGCACAGTCAATGAAGCAGAAGTAGATGTTTTTCTGGAGGTCTCTTGCTTTTTCTATGATCCAATGGATGTTGGCAATTTGATCTCTGGTTCCTCTGCCTTTTCCAAATCCAGCTTGAACATCTGGACGTTCTCTGTTCACATACTGTTGAAGGCCAGCTTGGAGAATTTTGAGCATTACTTTGCTAGTGTGTGAGATGAATGCAGTTGTGCTGTAGTTTGAACATTCTTTGGCATTGCCTTTCTTTGGGATTAGAATGAAAACTGTGGCTGAGTTTTCCAAATTTGCTGGCATATTGGGTGCAGCACTTTCACAGCATCATCTTTTAGGATTTGAAATATCTCAACTGGCATCCCATCACCTCCACTAGCTTTGTTTGTAGTGATTCTTCCTAAAGCCCACTTGACTTCACACTTCAGGATGTCTGGCTCCAGGTGAGTGATAACACCACTGTGGTTATCTGGGTCATGAAGATCTTTTTTGTATAGTTCTTCTGTGTACTCATGCCACCTCTTCTTAATATCTATTGCTTCTGTTAGGTCCATACCATTTCTGTCCTTTATTGTGACCATCTTTGCATGAAATATTCCCTTAGTATCTTGAATTTTCTTCAAGAGATCTCTAGTCTTTCCCATTCTATTGTTTTCCTCTGTTTCTTTGCATTGATAACTGAGGATGGCTTTCTTATCTCTCCTTGTTAGTCTTTGGAACCCTGCATTCAGATAGGTATCTTTCCCATTCTCTTTTACCTTTCACTTCTCTTCTTTTCTCAGCTATTTGTAAGGCCTCCTCAGACAACCATTTTGCCTTTTTGCATTTTTTTTATCTTGGGAATGGTTTTGATCACTGCCTCCTGTACAATGTTATGAACTTCTGTCCACATTTCTTCAGGCACTTTATCTGATATAATCCCTTGAATCTATTTCCCCTCTTAATGTCTTTACAATATGTTGATGGTAAAAATGATGACACTGTCTGGTGGGGTTTTCAATGTACATAGATGTTAAAATGGACTTCCCTGGTGGTGCGGAGGTAAAGAATTTGCCTGCAATGCAGGAGATGCAGGTTCAATCCCTGGGTTGGGAAGACCCCCTCTGGAGAAGGAAATGGCAACTTACTCCAGTATTCTTGCCTGGAGAATTCCATGGACAGGAGCCTGGTGGGCTACAATCCATGGGGTCACAAAGACTTGCACTAGATTTAGTGACTGAGCATGCACTCAGATAACAAATAGACACAACTACATCATGAAAGGAGACCAGTGAGGACACAGAGCTTTAATGTTCCATTTCATTTCACTGAAATGGTAAAGTGGCCATTTCAAGTAGACAATGAGGTGTTTAGTATATATATTGTAATCCCCAGAGTAACAGCTGAAAAACCTATATAAAAAGATGTAGTTAAAAGCCAACAGATAAATTAGAATATAATACTCAAAACCCTGATACGATCCATAGGAAAGCAGGAAAGTTGAACAGAAAAGTGAAAAAACCAAAGAGCAAACAGAAAACGAAGATTTGAACAACACCTAAATCCAATGATTTCAATAATTACATCGTGTACATGATCTAAATACACCAATTGCAAGACAGATACTGGCACATGGAGTTTCTAAAAATGTGGCCCAACTATATGCCGCCTATAAGAAACACACTTCATTTTATTAATTTTTTTACTGAAGTATATAGTTGATTTACACTGTTGTGCCAATCTCTGCTGTATAGCAAAGTGACTCAGTCATACACACATATACTCTTTACCATTATGATTTATCATAGGCTATTGAATGTAGTTCCCTGTGCTATACATTAGGACCTTATTTTTTATCCATTCTCAATTTAATAGAGAATCACACTTTAAATATGATAGTATAGGTAGGTTAATAGAAGACGGATGGAAAAGACATACCATACGCTAATAAAAAGAAAATTAGAATGACTGTGTGAATATTAAGCAAAGTATACTTCACATCAGTGCACATTACCAGGTGCATGGTGGGTCCTGACTTGACGAAAGGGTCTGTTTAACAAGACAATACAACTGTTGTAAAATGTGTATACGTCTAATGACAGAATGTCAAAATATTAATACATGAAGCAAACTCTGAAAGAAGTAAAGGAAGAAACAGATGATTACAAGAGGAGGCTTCATTACTTACTCCTCTCTCAGTAATCAATTTTTAAAAAAACTAGACACAAGGTCAGCAAGTACACAGAAGACCTAAAAAACACCACTGACCATCAGGACCCAAAGGACATTCCACCCAGAGCAGTAGAAGATGCCCACAATACGGTCACCAAGGAAGGCTGTGTCTAGGGCCTTGGAGCAAAGCAGAACACATTTAAGACAACTGGAATCATGTAGGGTATGTTCTCCAGCTGTATGGCATTGCTAATTGGAATTGAACCAGAAAGCAAGCAACAGAAAGACACAGGGCACTCTCGGAAGAAATGATG